AAACTATGTATTTTGGACAGAATCTATTTTTCTGAAATAACTCAGAATCACTTTCAATGTATTTACCTTTGTTTGAAGTTAAGCGACACTATATCTTCCCGTGGGTGTCGTAAAAGGCGACAAAGGGAAACAGGCAGGAGATGGACAGCAGCATCTTCCTGATAACAACAAACATACAATAAAAAACTGCGGTTGCCAACCCGCTCGCCAAGCGTGGCAACTATGGAAAATACCCCCCTATGACGAGAGTAACAAAAAAAACCCCAGTCCCCGGCGGCCCCGCTATTCTTGGCTACGGTGGCGACCATGGTAACGGCGGGGCAGGGGGTGCTAAGAATCTCCGGTGGAGGTTTGGTTGCCACCTAAGACGACTCGACCTGGCTACATACAACGCACGCACCCTGAGGACTGACGAAAAGATCGTGGAGCTGGAAGAAGAGATAGACAAGTTACGCTGGCATATTATAGGATTATCCGAAGTCCGAAGAGAGGGGGAGGACACGATAATCCTCGAATCCGGCAACTTGCTCTATCACCGGGAGGGCGACCATCTGTCCCAAAGAGGTGTCGGATTTATCCTCCACAAGTCTCTCGTTAACAACGTTGTAAAGATTGAGAGTGTGTCGACGAGGATTGCGTACCTTTTACTCAGAATCACCAAACGGTATTCGCTGAAGGTCATACAGGTTTACGCACCAACCTCGGCACACCCCGATGAGGTGGAGGAAATGTATGAGGATATCTCTAGAGCCATGCATTCCTCCAAAACCCAATATACGGTGTTAATGGGAAACTTCAATGCAAAACTAGGCACAAGAGAGAACGGTGAGCTGAAAGTAGGGAAATTTGGAATAGGGCAACGGAACCCAAGGGGCCAGCAGCTGGCCGACTTCATGGAGAAAAACGGACTCTTTATGATGAACTCTTTCTTCCAGAAGCGGCCCCACAGGAAGTGGACCTGGACGAGCCCCGACGGTTCGACAAAAAATGAGATTGACTTCATTATGACGACCAGACCACAACTGTTCAGTGATGTATTCGTGATCGCGAGGATGAAAACTGGTAGCGATCACCGAATGGTCAGAGGCACACTGAACCTAAACATTAAGTTGGAGAGGTCTCGTCTAATGAAGTCAACGCTCCGTCCCCCTCGTGCTCTGGTCCAAAGTCCCGAAACCTTTCAGCTCGAGTTACAAAACCGTTTTCAGTGCCTAGAAGACTGCAATGAAGTGGACGATATGAATGATAAGCTCGTGGAAACTGTCCATGCGGTCGGAGCTAAGTTCTGCAAGACCCACCGCAGAATAACACAAAAACTCTCCGATCACACTCTCAATCTCATGGCTGTTAGACGGGAGATGAAGCTACATTCTTCAACAGACTTGACAACATACAGGCAACTGAACAGACTGATCTACAAATGCATGCGGCGGGACTTACGCAACTTCAATAAGCTTGTATTGAAGAAGCGATCGAGCGGAACCAAGGCTCCAAAGTGTTTGCTCGAGATCTGTCTGCCAGAAAGAGCCAACTGTTAAAGCTGAAGACCGAATGTGGCAGCATCGTTTCCGGGACACCTGAGATTTTGAGTGAGATTGAGAGGTTCTATGGGCAGCTGTACTCGTCATCGTTGGAGCCACACGCAAGTGTGAGTAACGATCCAAGAGCGAGTCTTATCCGACACTATTACGAAGATATCCCGGACGTCAGTTTGAGCAAGATTAGAATGGCTCTCCAGCACCTTAAAAAAGGCAAGGCCCCAGGCGAGGATGGAATTACAGCGGAGCTTCTGAAAGCGGGTGGAAGACCGCTACTTGATGTCCTTCAGAAGCTCTTTAATTCCGTCCTCCATGGTGGCATTACACCGCAGGCGTGGAGCAGAAGTGCGGTGGTCTTGTTCTTCAAGAAAGGTGACAACGCTCTCTTGAAGAACTACAGACCGATTTCCCTTCTGAGCCGCGTCTACGTGCTGTTTTCGAGAGTCATTACGAATCGTCTCGCGCGCAGACTTGACGACTTCCAGCCTCCCAAATAAGCCGGTTTCCGAAAGGGCTTTAGCACCATAGACCACATACATACCCTTCGACAAATTGTACAGAAGTCCGAAGAGTATAATTTGCCACTATGTCTGGCGTATGTGGAGTATGAGAAAGCCTTTGATTCCGTCAAAATTTGGGCGGTGCTGTAATCCCTTCAGCGGTGCCAAGTTGACTGTCGGTATATCGAAGTGTTGAAGTGTTTGTACAGTAGAGCTACGATGGCTATCCGAGTACAGAACCAGAGTACGAAACCTATCCAATTGCAGAGAGGTGTAAGACAGGGTGATGTTATATCCCCGAAACTCTTCACCGCTGCATTGGAAGACGTTTTCAAGCTTCTGGGCTGGAAAGGATAAGGTATTAACATCAATGGCGAGTACATCACTCACCTTCGATTTGCCGACGATATAGTCCTTATGGCAGAATCGCTGGAGGACCTAAGCACCATGCTCAATGACCTCAATAGTATCTCCCAACGAATAGGTCTTAGGATGAACATGGACAAAACAAAGATCATGTTTAATGTCCATGTCACACCTATGCCGATAGTCGTTGGGAGCACTAAGCTCGAAGTTGTTGACGAGTATGTTTACCTGGGACAAATAGTCCAACTAGGTAAGTCCAACTTCAGACCGGGAGGTGAATCGACGGTTTCAACTCGGCTGGGCAGCGTTCGGGAAACTAAGACACATCTACTCGTCAGACATACCTCAAAACCTTAAAACTAAATTGTACAACTAGTGCGTGTTGCCAGTGATGACTTACGGATCTGAGACGTGGTTCTTTACTGCTGGCCGTATGAAGAAGCTCAAGGTCGCTCAGCGAGCTATGGAGAGGGCTATGCTCGGGGTTTCTCTGCGTGATAAACTTAGAAATGAGTATATCCGCAGTAGAACCAGAGTAACCGACATAGCCCAACGGATTAGTAAGCTGAAGTGGCAGTGGGCCGGCCATATAGCTCGAAGAACCGACAACCGTTGGGGAAGAAAGGTTCTTGAGTGGCAGCCTCGTACCGGTAGGCGAAGTGTAGGGCGACCCCCCACGAGATGGAGTGACGACCTGGTAAGACATCCACGAAGTCGATGGATGCAGGTGGCTCAGGACCGTGGTTTGTAGCATTCATTGGAGGAGACCTATGTTCAGCAGTGGACTTATGAAAAGCTGTAATGAAATGAAATAATGAGTGTACGCACTACAAGAAAGTTAGTTTGTCAAAAATTATTTTGGCCAGGGATGAACAAAGATTAATTTATGGGCAAAAATGTTGTATTCAATGTCAAAAATCTAAAGTTAATAGGCATACATTTTCAGAATTTAGTGAATTTCCCGTAGGCAACCGTTTGGAGCACATTTATGTAGATATCGTCGGACCCTTACCAACTACTGTACAAGGCCATAGATATTGCGTGACAGTAATAGGAAAACACGACGGCCAGAAGCTTTCCCTGTACAAAATATCACAGCAGAAAGCGTTGCCAAAGTAATATTCGAAGGATGGTAACCCGTTATGGATGCCCAGTTACGACGTATTGATGTAAAGAGACAAAGAACTACTGCAAAGTAATGGTATGGTAGAGCACTGGCATCGTTCTTTGAAAGCTTCACTTACAGCCAGGTTAAATGATTCGTACAGTACTGAGAAGCGATAGTAGCGTCAGCGCAGCCGAAATGACTTGGACGTACATTACAGTTACCAGGTGATTTTTATGATGTCACAGATTCAGAGGTAAGTGATAATAACTTTTTAGAAGACAAAAGACGTCATTCAATATCGAAATTGAAGCGTATTTTGAAATCTCATAGTAATTCACGATCATTTTTGTCCATCCTGATTTAAAGTCCTGTACTCACTGTTTTCGTTAGGGATGACACTGTTAAACGACCCCCGAAACCTCCTTATGGTGGTTCGTTTATAGTGATTAAACGCAAAGCGTAAGCATAAGGTATTTTTGGTACAGTTACAAGATCGTAAAGTTAGTATTTCGATCGATCGTTTAATAAATTTATAAAAATTTATATTTAGTAAATTTTTGGAGAGTAATATTCTGAAAAAGAAAATCACTAAATATTTTATGACTTTTAGTGATATATTTCAAATCTTGAAGAATTTTGAAAATACGTATTAGCAACCCTCTTTACCTGTCGGTAAATTTCCCAGTTATGTCAAAATTGCACTATTATTTTCTCACATTACTAAAACGTAATTAGACATTTGTGTTTGGTTATCCTAAGCCTACCTTGGACTTTTCCCGACTAATAATGAGGAACTAATACGTATGTAAAGTTGGTTTCAGTGAGTGCTGAATACTGAAAGGTTGATATATGAATATTGAAATTAAAGAAGGTCTCCTAATAAAAAACTTAATTCGAATCGGGGTAGATGCCTCTGTCATGACTGGAATCAGTAATGGCGTACGCGTACCTAATTAAATTCTAGTCAGATGTGTTTGCCACTCATTTACACTGTTTCACATGTGTCAGAACAAACGTTACCGCAAAATGTAGAGTTTCTCATTAGAGAAACTTATAATTAGTTCTCACATTCACCCAAACGCTGTGATGAGTACAAAGATATACATGAGACAGTAAATTTTGGCGAGAATACTTTAAAAATATTGCGCTCTTGTGATATTCGTTGGCTGTCCGTTAAAGAAACTGTGATCAGGAGGCCGTCTCGATTTTGTATGTTGTGTTTATTGTAATTATTTCCACAAGTAAAATAGTATATTTATTACATACCATGTGATTTGATTTTAAATAATTTGGTGAATTCTAGGGATTTTTTTAAGTAAATATATCCCCAAATCTGGTGAAATTTCAGACCATAACTAGTGATAAATTTTTCTGCAAGGTGGCAACACTGCCTGAAAATAAATACTACTAATTGGCCTAAAGGTCTAGATACCAGGCCATAAACTCCACAAGAAAAATACTACAACTTTACGTATTCGTTTTTTTTTTATACTATTATTTATTTCGTTTCCGTTCGTGGATATTTTTGTTTATTATTTACTTAATTCTCTACGACTTAATTAAACACTGTTATCGTTTGACCACGAAGTAATTCACTTGATTGTCTTTACCTATTAATACAATTACTATTGAATTTGAAACTATATAATATTTACATTTGTGAAAGTACAAACCAAAAAGTACATAAATTGTGAAGTGGTAATGATGTCAGTGCTTTATTGCTTTTTCATTTATAATATTGAGTTTAAATGCGTGCAGGAGACTACTAGCTAGTCTAGTAGAAGAGTTTACATGTGCAAAGCAAATGCTTTAGATGTTATTTCCAGTCGCGCATTTTCCTGTCTTGATAACCCCAAGTTGTTTATGTGAGAACGTTCGCATAATCGTAGTTTTAGTCATGTCGTGTCGGTGACTGATACTGATATACTCGTGATAGAGTAGATGGGCGCTATGTTATTCTTAGCGATTTCGGCTTGCATGTTGATTACTTGTGCGAATGCAGAATATAGCATAAAATGCAACAACCAATCTGAAAGTGGTATGTCATTTGAACCATCTACTGATGGCGTAAAAGGTCGTTACACAGTTGTGTGGTGTACGGAGGCGGATGAAAATGTAACTGAATGGGATCTTATTATACGATATTACGAGACACGCAAACCTGAAAAGTGTAAGCATTACGATTTGAAGCACCCACCTCCATTGGGTCTAGCACACTCTCGCATAAGGCAAGATGTAAATATAAGCCCTGATTGCACAAATGTAAGTATCGAGAGTTTTCAAAGTATACTTCATACCATTATTGCAGTATTGATTTGCTCTGTTTTTTTTAATCTAATTTCACAGATGACGATTAGTCATCGTCATCATTACAGCCCTTCACAAGTCCACTGCTGAACATAAGCCATAAGTTGTAAAAAAAAACAAAGGCTCTACTTTTGCCAACTTGCTGGCCAAGCATGATGAGGATGGGAAAACAGTAAAGTGTAACAGTAAACTTGAAAAGGTTATTGATGTGATATGTTCAATGAAGTGTTATAGTAGTAAGTCCAGCCGTACTTAATATGTATTTATTTATACTGTTGTGTAGTGTATGTGTGTGTAGATTAGGGCAAAATCTAATTGTACAGTAAATAGTTTGGTTAAAAATATTATTAATGAAAGAGAGAGAAGATATTTAGAAAAATTATAAATAATAATACCTTTTTATTTCACCATTAATTTTATATGTGTTAATAATCAAATATAAATTCTTAGTCATATTTAAATGAACAAGCAAATATTTTTACAGGCATGCTTTTCAACATCAGTTGATCTGATATTCCAAGCATGCTATGCTATTAAGAGCATGTTACTGCGTGGCACCCACAGTTCTGAAGGGCATGATTCCTTCCATTATGTAAGGAACAATTTCACTAAAGTTGGGTCACTAAGAGCTAACACTCCTGCTGTTAAATTTGTCAATTACAAGTAAGTAAATATATTAATAAATTATAATACTATCTTATAGAGGTGAATAGTAAAGATTTTGATAAATGTCAAAAGCAAAATAATTAACATTTTGCATTATGTTTTATCATTCATTCTTGTATTATCATTTGATAGTGTGAAGAATATCTTTTGTCCTAATAAAGTAATAAAATTGTGTGGAGGAAAACATTTTTACTATATATTTTTTCACATTTATTTTCCCTTTGCTCTTACAAATGCTTTCATTCATTCATTACAGCCCATTAAAAGTCCACTGCTGAACATATCCCCCCCCCCCCCCCCGCCACCATAGATTGCCTAATAAGTGGGATATTTGCCATAGTTGCCACAATTGGAAGGAGGATTAACAATAATTGTATTTTTAATTACTATTGATAACACATTACTATTGATAACATGCTGTTTCAGTTTTCCTTATCACCTCTTATGACAGAGGATGATATGGATACTCTTACATTGCCATTACATACATCTTGATTAGACTGTATTAATCTCCTATAAAAATTAATATAGCTGTTTCATGGTCACTAAAGTTGTGCACTAAATATTTAGTAAAGTATTTAAGTATAGATTTGTATAAATGTAATTTGCCCAAATAGTCAAATACTGTTCTATTTTAAGATGATATTAAATCTCATGCTGAATGATTTCTTGTATTTACGTGAACACTACACATTTAAATAAAACTAATTTTATGGATTTTATCATGTATATTAATATATAACATATAACAAACATATAGCTGATGTGAAGAATCGACGCTCCGGGAAGTCTGCAGTCTGTGAACACGTACAGGATCGCCCCCGTCACTACATTAGATTTGATAGACCACAAATCCTCGCTAAAGAATACCGATTCCTTCCAAGGATGATTTGTGAGGCTATTGAAATCAAAAAACATCCTCATTTCAATAGAAAAGATGGCTGGGTGCTACCATCTTGCATGCTTGGGATCCCATAATTAATAAAATTAAATCCCAACCCAAGCATACAATTGCAAGACTTCATGATACTGTAAGTTCATACTACGTAGATCAGAACAAAAATTAATAATTTTTTAATCTGGAGGTAGCCGTGGTTAACTATGACATTGGGACGTCATACACCTCAGTGCCCCTCGTGACCATGGGTGATGTAAAGTGCTTGAAACGTCGGGAATATAAAATAAGTTAATATACGTGATAAAATCCGTAAAATTAGTTTTATCTTAATCTCCTGCTGAAGTCAAAGTAACTGTGAAACCATGAGACATTGCATTAAGAATTTGTCCGTAATATTATATATTCCGTTGCCGTGTAGTGGCGGTCAAGAATATCCACTACCCCATATCCTCCCGTGGGTGTCGTAAAAGGCGACAAAGGGAAACAGCCAGGAGATGGGCAGCAGCATCTTCCTGATAATAGCCAAATGACAATAAAAAAACTGCGGTTGCCAACCCGCTCGCCAAGCGTGGCAACTATGGCAAATACCCCCCAATGATGAGAGCAACAAAAAAACGGACCCCAGTCCCCGGCGGCCCCGCTATTCCTGGCTACGGTGGCGACCATGGTAACGGCGGGGCAGGGGGTGCTAAGAATCTCCGGTGGAGGTTCGGTTGCCACCTTAGACGACTCGACCTGGCAACGTACAACGCACGCACCCTGAGGACTGACGAGAAGATCGTGGAGCTGGAAGAAGAGATAGACAAGTTGCGCTGGCATATTATAGGATTATCTGAAGTCCGAAGAGAGGGGGAGGACACGGTAATCCTCGAATCCGGCAACTTGCTCTATCACCGGGAGGGCGACCATCTGTCCCAAGGAGGTGTCGGATTTATCGTCCACAAGTCTCTCGTTAACAACGTTGTAAAAATCGGGAGTGTGTCGACGAGGGTTGCGTACCTTATACTCAGAATCACCAAACGGTATTCGCTGAAGGTCATACAGGTTTACGCACCAACCTCGGCACACCCCGATGAGGAGGTGGAGGAAATGTATGAGGATATCTCTAGAGCCATGCATTCCTCCAAAACCCAATATACGGTGTTAATGGGAGACTTCAATGCAAAACTAGGCACAAGAGAGAACGGTGAGCTGAAAGTAGGGAAATTTGGAATAGGGCAACGGAACCCAAGGGGCCAGCAGCTGGCCGACTTCATGGAGAAAGAGGGACTCTTTATGATGAACTCTTTCTTCCAGAAGCGGCCCCACAGGAAGTGGACCTGGTCGAGCCCCGACGGTTCCACAAAAAATGAGATTGACTTCATTATGACGACCAGACGACAACTGTTCAGTGATGTCTCCGTGATCGCGAGGGTGAAAACTGGTAGCGATCACCGAATGGTTAGAGGCACACTGAACCTAAACGTTAAGTTGGAGAGGTCTCGTCTAATGAAGTCAACGCTCCGTCCCCCTCGTGCTCTGTTTCAAAGTCCCGAAACCTTTCAGCTCGAGTTACAAAACCGTTTTCAGTGCCTAGAAGACTGCAATGAAGTGGACGATATGAATGACAAGCTCGTGGAAACTGTCCATGCGGTTGGAGCTAAGTTCTGCAAGACCCGCCGCAGAAGAACACAAAAACTCTCCGATCACACTCTTAATCTCATGGATGTTAGACGGGAGATGAAGCTACATTCTTCAACAGACTTGACAGCATACAGGCATCTGAACAGACAGATCTCCAAATGCATGCGGCGGGACTTACGCAACTTCAATACAGCTCGTATTGAAGAAGCGATCGAGCGGAACCAAGGCTCCAAAGTCTTTGCCAGAGATCAGTCTGCCAGAAAGAGCCAACTGTCAAAGCTGAAGACAGAATGTGGCAGCATCGTTTCCGGGACACCTGAGATTTTGAGTGAGATTGAGAGGTTCTATGGGCAGCTGTACACATCATCGTTCGAGCCACACGCAAGTGTGAGTAACGATCCAAGAGCGAGTCTCATCCGACACTATTCCGAAGATATCCCGGATGTCAGTCTGAGCGAGATTAGGATGGCTCTCCAGCACCTTAAAAACGGTAAGGCCCCAGGCGAGGATGGAATTACAGCGGAGCTTCTGAAAGCGGGTGGAAGACCGGTACTTGAAGTCCTTCAGAAGCTCTTTAATTCCGTCCTCCATGGTGGCATTACACCGGAGGCGTGGAGCAGAAGTGCGGTGGTCTTGTTCTTCAAGAAAGGTGACAACGCTCTCTTGAAGAACTACAGACCGATTTCCCTTCTGAGCCGCGTCTACGTGCTGTTTTCGAGAGTCATTACGAATCGTCTCGCGCGCAGACTTGACGACTTCCAGCCTCCCGAACAAGCCGGTTTCCGAAAGGGCTTTAGCACCATAGACCACATACATACCCTTCGGCAAGTTGTACAGAAGTCCGAAGAGTACAATTTGCCACTATGTCTGGCGTATGTGGACTATGAGAAAGCCTTTGATTCCGTCGAAATTTGGGCGGTGCTGCAGTCCCTTCAGCGGTGCCAAGTTGACTGTCGGTATATCGAAGTGTTGAAGTGCTTGTACAGTAGGGCTACGATGGCTATCCGAGTACAGAACCAGAGTACGAAACCTATCCAATTGCAGAGAGGTGTAAGACAGGGTGACGTCATATCCCCGAAACTCTTCACCGCTGCATTGGAAGACGTTTTCAAGCTTCTGGACTGGAAAGGATACGGTATCAACATCAATGGCGAGTACATCACTCACCTTCGATTTGCCGACGATATAGTCCTTATGGCAGAATCGCTGGAGGACCTAAGCACTATGCTCTATGACCTCAATAGTGTTTCCCAACGGATAGGTCTTAAGATGAACATGGACAAAACTAAGATCATGTTTAATGTCCATGTCACACCTATGCCGATAGTTGTTGGGAACACTAAGCTCGAAGTTGTTGACGAGTATGTTTACCTGGGACAAATAGTCCGACTGGGTAAGTCCAACTTCGACCGAGAGGTCAATCGACGGATTCAACTCGGCTGGGCAGCGTTCGGGAAGCTACGACACATCTTCTCGTCAGACATACCTCAAAACCTTAAAACGAAATTGTACAACCAGTGCGTGTTGCCAGTGATGACTTACGGAACTGAGACGTGGTCCTTCACTGCTGGCCGTATGAGGAAGCTCAAGGTCGCTCAGCGAGCTATGGAGAGGGCTATGCTCGGAGTTTCTCTGCGTGATAAACTTAGGAATGAGGATATCCGCAGTAGAACCAGAGTGACCGACATAGCCCAACGGATTAGTAAGCTGAAGTGGCAGTGGGCCGGCCATATAGCTCGAAGAACCGACAACCGATGGGGAAGAAAGGTTCTCGAGTGGCAGCCTCGTACCGGTAGGCGAAGTGTAGGGCGTCCCCCCACGAGATGGAGTGACGACCTGGTAAGACATGCAGGAAGTCGATGGATGCAGGTGGCTCAGGACCGTGTTTTGTGGCATTCTTTGGGGGAGGCCTATGTTCAGCAGTGGACTTGTGAAGGGCTGTAATGATGAATGATGATGATTATATATTCCGTATATATACATATATAAAGAAACAAAAAGAGTTATTCATTATTGTCATTTATTTTATTAACTTAATAATATATGTATTAATCATATTGTTAATCATAATTTGTATTCCTCTTCTTGTTACACTAACAGTTTTGACATTAAAATAGATATGATGGAAATGTGATCTGATTATAAAAAAAATAACTTATGCTATCTATCTTGTAGAGGTCAAGTATCTATAGATTAAAAAATATCAAGTTAAACAAATCATCACCTAACTCCCATGTTATTTTTGTTATATTAATTATAACTTATCATATTTTTATATAATAACTTCTAGACCTCTTCAAACATTATTATAATATTACTAGGTGGTACCTGGCGCATTGCTGCCGCAGAACAAATGATTGTGGATTAGTATTGTTTTAAATTTGGAAGGGTTAAATGTTTTTATTAAGAAAGAATACATTTATTGAAATTGAATGATATGTGACTTTCAAGTAAATTTGTTGGTACAATAATGCTCACCACCTACTGTAAGTTAATTGTATTATGTCTATAACCTTTGCGCTAGTGCAAGCAATAAGTTGACAAAGTTTTAGTTTTGTTTTAGATATTGGTGACTTTTATAATTTGTAACTGTTTAGATTTTACTATAGCCATTGATATTGAATTTGTTGTTGGATTGTAACCCTGGGAGTCAATAAAAGTTTAAATTATACTTGTTTTTACAGATTTTATTGTGTATTTTAACTTATTTTATATACACTAGTTCAAAATACTGTACTTAGACTAATTACTTTGAATTAAAAGAATAGAACTCCAAAAGTTTATCAATGGTAAGAGTACCTCCAGGTTGGTAGAATCACATGGGTGTTCCTTAAGGTTCAATTATTGATTCTTTCCTGTTCTTAATATATATTATTTAATTACCTCAAATTTAGTTATTTTCATAGTCTTTATTGTCTTATGGAATTTTGCTATGGGAAAATGTGACTGACATTGAAACTATAGTATTTTTCATAAGGGCAATTTATAACTTAAATTGTGACGAGTCTCGTAGAGAAAAGTTTAAAGAAATAAATAGATTTACTTAGCTTCGCAATATATTGATGAACATAAAAACATATATAGTTTTGATAAACAACAAAGATACTCATACTTAGTTACTAAGAACAAACACAAACTTATAATGCCAGCTACAAGACTTAACAGAATTAGTTATTAAATTTTTCGTCATATTTTATTTGTTAAACGTCACAGTTTTTTCACCATATTTGTCAAAAGAATTCTAAATCAAAACTCTTTCCACTTGTGGCGCCAACTGTTCGCCATAGAAACTAAATTTAATTGTCTAAACATCCTGGAAGGTGATCACTATTCACTACCATGCTGGTTCAACTATAATTCAATATAAGTAATTGCAGAGTATTGTAAAATTTTGTGTTGAAAAACCCCACTGGGGATCTTCCTGATTTTTCCCAGGATAGAAGTATTTTCTAGAATATGTTAAATAGTAAATAAAAAATGACTTTCAGTAAGAATTTTGTAATAATATATCTATACTAATATTATAACGAGAGAGTGCGAATTTTGTGTAAACAATATAACTATGGTGGCTGACGGCGCGGTGGTGACACGTTTGTCTCTAGGTCATGCAATGCAGAGAATTAATTTATTTTAAAATCTCAGAAAAAATAATCAAAAATTGAGGTACACCATGAAGTTTTGAAACTAATAATACTTACGTAATATTTAAGGTAGATAATTGTTAGACCCAGGTCTTGTTTGTGTCTTTAAATCTTGTTTGCTTAAAATATTTTAATATGTTTCAGTGATCATGTGTCAGCCATTTGGTTCCTTGGCTCTGTCCCTGCTGCCAAGTTCACAATGGATATCTGCCGTATTAATGTCACATTGCCTTCTGAGGTAATTCAAATAATATTTTTACAAAAAAAAATAACATTCTTCTTCTTCAGCCCCATAACAGTAACTAGTAATACGTTCTAGGAATACTAGTTATTGTTTACTACCTAGGGATTTAAAAAAAAAAAAGAAGAAGAATCTAGAGATCCGTTCCGGATTCGCCTGGGTAGTGTCTGTTAATGTCATTTATGTCACCATTTAGATTTAAGATAAACATACCATTGCAGTTCTTTACAAGTCTACTGCCAACTACAACCAACATAGGCCTTCGCCAAAGAATGCCACAAAACACGGTCCTGAACCACCTTGCATTCATCAACTTCCTGCATTTCTTACTAGGTCTTCACTCCATCTAGTGAGGGGCCGCCCTGTACTTCGCTTAACGGTTGCCACTCGATAAACATCAACAGTTATTTATTTTATCAATTTTTCGATTTTCTGATAAAATATAGCCTCCAAATTACTCCTGGCATTGCTCTTTATCTGTTTTTGTAGCTTTATCACATTCGGTTCAGCCATTCTGAAGATTAGCCTGAACAAATAGACAGACAGACTGATAAAATTTCAAAAATGGCCAAGAAGTTATTTTGATTTGACAGACAGACACTTAAATTTTATTCATTTGTATTGACAATTAAATACAATTAGTTACAATAGGGTATTTTGCACCATGTAAAAAAGAAATAACAAATTCGCATTTATGATAGATTATGTAAAAAGTAAACGAGAAATGTTTCTAATCATAAAAATGTTGTTACACTTTACGAGTAGATTACGTGTAATCTAATATCAAAAGCTTAGTCAGGACAATTTGGGATCAACAGGTATTAAGGCTATTTCCAGATTGCATAACTAAGTACTTATTACCAACTTTTGTTTATGCAATAACACATTAGCAGGTCAGTGTCTTTTGAATATACATAGCTATGTTTATTTTTGATTTATCATCATCATCATCATCATCATCATTACAGCCCTGTACAAGTCCACTACTGAACATAGTCCTCCCCCAAGCAATGCCACAAAGCACGGTCCTGAGCCACCTGCATTCATCGACTTCATGCATATCTTACCAGGTCGTCACTCCATCTAGTGGGGGGGACGCCCTACACTTCGCCTGCCGGTACGAGGCTGCCACTCGAGAACCTTTCTTCTCCATCGGTTGTCGGTTCTTCGAGCTATATGGCCGGCCCATTGTCACTTCAGCTTACTAATCCGTTGGGCTATGTCGGTCACTCTGGTTCTACTGCGGATATCCACATTTCTAAGTTTATCACGCAGAGAAACTCCGAGCATAGCCCTCTCCACAGCTCGCTGAGCGATCTTGAGCTTCTTCATACGGCCAGCAGTGAAGCACCACGTCTCAGTTCCATAGGCCATCACTGGCAACACGTACTGGTTGTACAGTCTCGTTTTCAAGGTTTGAAGTAAACCTGACGAGAGAAGTGCCGTAATTTCCCGATTGCTGCCCAACCGAGTTGAATCCGTCGATTGACCTCTCGGTCGAAATTGGACTTACCTAGTCGGACTATTTTATTTTTGATTACAATCATTAATTATATATAAGATAACCTAATCTATTACAAAATTTGACTTACAATACCTATCACCTCATAATTTTTTTTTTTATAAACGATAGATAAATATAAGTCATACTTACGTCAAAGTGATCTTCACAGGAGTATAGTCTAGTTTTTGTAGAGAATGTCTTCAGGTCTCTTCTTGCCAGTTTTAAGTTTTAACCAAATATTTCTCATACTTAAATCAGTTGGCACTTGAATCCATAACTTCCCCGGCGTTCTTATGCTCGTATTTTTGCATTCAGGCACAACACACCAACGATACAGATATATAATAAGTCATTACCTACGAAATTGCCGTACTGCAGTACTTTTCAATCAAAATTATTTTTGTTTGGCTGAGAATTCTAATTTTAAATTAATTTTTCAAAATTAGTCACATGTTTATTGATTAGCTTTATGGTTGCATCGCATTTGAAACTTGCGTCATCATGGATACATTAAAATTCGAGTAATTATGGAATATGAGTACCGTCGAAGCAGCAACGCGGTACAAGCGGCACGTAACATCAAGGACGTTTACGGAGCGAATAGATACTACAAAGTACAAACGAACGCACCACCTGTTAATGGCTTGCGCGCTTCCGTTCTGGAAATTTCGACCTGAAAACTGAACCTCGTGGTCGTCAAAAAACTTTGGTCGACAATGACGAATTAAAGACGATTCTGGAAACTGATGATACTCAGTCTACGTCTACGGCTGAATTAGCAGCAGCTTTCGACGTTAGCATCAAAACAGTATTGGTCCGTTTACGTCAAATTGGAAAGGTAAAAAAGCTTGACAAATGGGTGCTCTACGAACTCAATGATCGCCAGCGCAAAGTACGCGTCGAGACGTGCCTTGCACTGCTCAACAGGCACACATACAAAGGAATTTCAAACCGGATTGTTACCTGCGACGAAAAATCGACTCTGTTTAACAATCGCAAGCGCTCTGCAAGTTTGTTGGATCCTGGTTCAGCACCTAAACAATGCCCTAAACGAAACTTACCTCCTAGAAAAGTGATGGTCACTGTTTAGTGGTCTAGCGCCGGTGTGATTTATCACAGCTCCTTAACAAACGGGATGAGCATTACTGCAGATGTGTACTGTGCAGAATTGAAATTGTGTGTGAAAAGAACTGCTTTGATGGAGAAGCTCGCACGTCTTGTCAATCGCTCGTGCCCGCTGCTCCTGCACAACAACGTGTGACCTCATACTGCACAACAGACGGTCTCCAAGTTGCAAGAGCTGGGTTGGAAGCTCTCCGTCACCAAACCTTGCGCCTACAGTCTTCTACTGTTACCAGAATTTGTTGCCTTCCGTCTTCAAGAAAACCATCAGTAAATTGCCACTACCTTGGGTAAAGATGCATCGATTGCATGGGTAATTATTTTCATTGATAGAAATGAAAAAAAAATATTGAAAAAAATTATATTAAGTTATTTCATAAAAAACGGTAAAATCATAGGTAAAGACCTAATATATATTATCTATAACTCATTATTAAACATCCAAAAAATATTTTATTCCTTTGCAAAATCGTGTTATTTACTAGAGTAGAAATTTTTCGCGCGAAAATTTAAATCCATTGTTTAAAACATTGAAGTATAATGTACTTACGTATTCTATTCAATTTTATAGCTATTATAGCTATTTCAAACGAAAACTGTGCGCTACTCTATGTCGTTGCGTATGCGCCGTAAATGCGCGTTTTCTTTATCATAATAGATTATGCGTAGGTAGAATGATCAGTAGGTATTTAATTATTGTTTATTTAGAGTACATATATTGTTAATTAATTTAAAGACAAATGTATGTATGATTTGTTGGTAACCACATCTCTTCTCTACGATTATTTTGGACGAATTTAATCCACTTTTCTCGGTTTTCGTGGTTTGGACGTGGAAACCTAAAAATAAAATAAAAGAATAATCAGCAAATATAAACGTAAGAAATTTAGCCTAGTTATAAATACTTCTATTTACTTCTACAACAAAAAATTGTGCATAATATATTCGTCCTACACTTTGCTACACATAGCTCACAGAAATGTCGTATCTGAACAAATTAATTTCATAATCTATATTTCATGACACAAGTTGGCGCCAAACAAATAACTTTTTAATTATTAATCTATAATGTTTTTTATTATTTAAGTATCTTACTTACCAATGAAAAAAAATTCCTTGGTTTTTACTAACATTTCGTGAATTTTTTGTGCAATATCTAAGAACACACCACGGCATATTTTATCAAGAGATTTTTTTTTAAATCAACACAACACGTGACAACTCTACAAGCGCCTAGCGACCGACTGATTAAAGTGCGGTGACATTGCCGCAGTTGAATGGAACAGCGTAACTTAGTGCAGTGTCGCCTCTAGTACGTAGTACATAATAACTCAATTGTTTAAAAGTAATTTTTATGGCACTATTCGATTCAAAAATAATATATAGAAATTATACTGATCACTCTAGGGTTAATTTAAAACACTATTTAAAGATGGGTGTAATAACCTATCTATACAAATAAATAAAATTGAAGTGTCTGTTTGTAATATTAAAATAACAGATTTTTACTAAATGCATATGAATATATGTACGGTACTTATAACAAAAACACAATTTTAAAAATTTTTGTCTGTCTGTCTGTCTGTTTGTTCCGGCTAATCTCCAAAACGGCTAAACCGCTTTCGACGGGTTTTTCACTGGCAGATAGCTGACGTTCTAAGGAGTAACTTAGGCTACTTATAATTGAGAAAAATAATTAGAGTTCTGAGCAATATAATTAAAACCCTAAATTACACGCGTGCGAAGTCGCGGGGAACAGCAAGTTATTAATAAATGCCAAAAATTTGTATTGTAAAATTTGCTTTTGGATATTGATTCACCAAAAAAATAAAAAATGTCTCTAAATCTGCACACACCATTTTAAACAAAGCAGCATTATTTTGCTATTATGTGTTGGTATTCCGTGAGAGCTTGGACTTGGCACTTACCCAGTTTAGCCAACATATTCATTCCGAAAATATAATACACTGAAACGGTTCGATCGTGTACTTGAGATTTGATAGAGAGTGCACCTGTGCTTGCGTATACATTCGGGCACTATAATCCCGTCTTGCACAGATGGCTATTCACCGTTGAGATTAGTCGTGTGTTACATACTTTATTGATAAATCGACTTGACTTAAAGAAAAAGAATGAAAGAAAGATCTTTCTTTACATGATAATTGGACCTTTGTTCAAAAGATAAAACTATGCTTATATTTAAATGGTACTTATGAAATATTTACCCATGTTAATTGCTTATTGACACGGAATTAGATGTAAATTTGATAATTTAGAGTCAACACTGGTTAAGGTTCATAACTTATTTTTGTTTGCATATGCAATTTTTTTATAGAAATAGGGTTACAAACGAGCACACAGTCCACCTGATGGTAAGTGGTTGCTGTAACCCATAGATTTCTATATCTATCCTCATTTGCGAATAAAAATGCAGTTGCGTTGTCAGCCTTGAGGAATAAGATGGATTGCCTCTTTTCCAGCAAAAGGGTCTCCGGTTCACTATACTCACCAAACGAAACAGCAGCAGCTGCTATTTTACGCTGGTATTCTGTGAGAGCGTGGTCCTTCCCGGTCGAGCCGACCCATTCGTGCTACAACTATATATATAAATATAACTATATAAATATAGCTGCAGCTTGGCTCTACCACGTGCAAAATAGCTATATTACATCTATATCAATTTCATTTTTCACATGAATAATTAAAAAAATCTAATCAGCCCGTACACGGGGTGTATTCTTACGTAACGTTACTTAACGTTACGGTAAGAATACCCACTACCCCATATCTTCCCGTGGGTGTCGTAAGAGGTGACAGAGGGAAAAGAGGGAAACTGAGGCACAAGGTGGGCAGCAGCATCTTTCTGATAACAGCAAAACAACAATAAAAAACTGCGATTGCCAACCCGCTCGCCAAGCGTGGTAACTACGGCAATATACCCCCCATGATTAAATTTACGAAGAGACGGCCCCAGAATCTCCGGTGGAGGGTTGGTTGCCACCTAAGACGACTCGACCTGGCGACATATAACGCACACACCCTGAGGACTGACAAGAAAATCCTGGAGCTGGAAAATAGATAGACAAGTTGCGCTGGAATATTATGTAATTATCTGAGGTCCGAAGAGAAGGACAGGACACGGTAATCCTCGAATCCGGCAACTTGTTCTATCACCGGGAGGGCGACCGTTGTCTCAAGGATTTGTTGGATTTATCGTTCACAAGTTTCTCGTTAACAACGTTGTAAAGATTGAAAGCTTATCGACGCGGGCTGCGTACCATATACTCAGAAACATCAATCGGTATTCTCTGAAGGTCGTACAGGTTTACGCACCAACCTCGGCACATTCCGATGAGGAGGTGGAGGAAATGTATGAAGATACATATAGAGCCATACATTCCTCAAAAACCCACTATACGGTGTTAATGGGAAACTTCTACGCAAAGCTAGGCACAAGAGAGAACGGTGAGCTGAAGGTAGGGAAATTTGGTATAGGGCAACGGAATCCAAGGGGCCAGCAGCTGGCCGACTTCATGGAGAAAGAGGGACTCTTTATGATGAACTCTTTCTTCCAGAAGCGGCACCACCGGAAGTGTATCTGGTCGAGCCCCGACGGTTCGATAAAGAATGAGATTGACTTCATTATGACGACCAGATGACAACTGTTCAGTGATGTCTCATGTGAAAGCTGGCAGCGATTACCGAATGGTGAGAGGTACACTGAACCTAAATGTTACATTGGAGAGGTCACGTCTAATGTAGTCAACGCTCCGTCCCACTCGTGCTCTAATCCAAAGTCCTGAAACCTTTCAACTCGTGCTACAAAACCGTTTTCAGTGCCTAGAAGATTGCAATGCAGTGGACGATATGAATGACAAACTCGAGGAAACTGTCCATGCGGTCGGAGCTAAGTTTTGCAAGACCCGCCGCAGAATAAACCCAAAAACTCTCCGATCACACTCTTAATCTAATAGCTGTTAAACGGGAAATCAGGCTGCAGTCTTCAGTAGATTTGACAGCATACAGGCAACTGAATAGACAGATCTCCAAATGCATGCGGCGGGACTTACGCAACTTTAATACTGTTCGTATGGAAGAAGCGATCGAGCGGAACCAGGGCTCCAAAGTCTTTGCTAGAGATCTGTCTGCCAGAAAGAGTCAACTGTCGAAGCTGAAGACCGAGCGTGGCAGCGTCATTTCCGGGACACCTGAGATTTTGAGTAAGATTGAGAAGTTCTATGGGCAGCTGTACACATAATCGTTGAAGCAACACGCAAGGGTGAGTAACGATCCAAGAGCAAGTCTTATCCGACACTATTCCGATAATATTCCGGACGTCAGTCTGAGCGAGATTAGTATGGCTGTCCAGCATCTTAAAAACGGTAAGGCCCTAGGCGAGGATAGAATTACAGCGGAGTTTCTAAAAGCGGGTAATTGAAGTCCTTTAGAAGGTCTTTAATTCCGTCCTCCACGGTGACACTACACCAGAGGCGTGAAGCAGAAGTGCGGTGGTCTTGTTCTTCAAGAATTACGACAACGCTTTCTTTAAGAACTATAGACCGATTTCCCTTCAGAGCCGCGTCTACGTGCTGTTTTCGAGAGTCATTACGGATCGTCTCGCATGCAGACTCGACGACTTACAGCCTCCCGAACAAGCCGGTTTTCGAAAAGGCTTTAGCACCATAGACCACATACATACCCTTCGGCAAATTGTACAGAAGTCCGAGGAGTATAATTTGCCACTATGTCTAGCGTATGCTTACACCTTCGATTTGCCGACGATATAGTCTTTATGGCAAAATCACTTAAGGATCTGAGCTCAGTGACCTCAATAGTGCCTCCCAACGGATAGGTCTTAAGATGAACATGCCAGTACCTAGTTGTTGGTAGCACTACGCTCGAACTTGTTGACTAGTATGTTTACCTTGGACAAATAGTTCGACTAGGTAAGTCCAACTTCGACCGAGAGGTCAATCGACGGATTCAACTCGGCTGGGCAGCGTTCGGGAAATTACGGCACATCTCGTCAGGTATACCTCAAAACTTGAAAACGAGACTGAACAACCAGTGCGTGTTGCCAGTGATGACCTATGGAAATGAGACGTGGTCCCTCACTGCTGACCGGATGAGGAAGCTCAAGATTGCTCAGCGAGCTATGGAGAGGGTTATGCTCGGAGTTTCTCTGCGTTCTCTGAACTTAGAAATGAGGATATCCGCAGTAGAACCAGAGTGACCGACATAGCTCAACGGATTAGTTAGCTGAAGTGACAATGAGCCGGCAATATAGCTCGGAGAACCGACAACCGATGGGGAAAAAAGGTTCTCGAGTGG